AAAGTGAAAATCATGAATGCATAAGAAGAGTCATGGATGACATGTCATGATAATGCACATGGTTAAATGATGACTATCATGTTAGGTCATTATGATGATAACAAGGTGAAATTTTTATTTACTAAGTAGGTGCATATCTCTTCTCTAGAAATTTCAAGGATCCACACTTAAGTCCATTTCTGGACCACAACACGACAGCTACAAGTTTAGATCATAAATAGAGTTCTACTCAACCAAATGCTATGACCCTAGACTTTATGGAAAGCTTATAAAATTGGCTACAACTTTCATTTAATCACCAAAAGCTGATTCAACTACTATCCTAGCCAAAATGGGTAAACTTCCCAGGTCTGACAAGAAATTTCAGAGAGTAAGCATTTCGGAAGACCAACTTCTAACAGCTATAACTCTCAAATCATTTCGCCTATTGCCCTGAAATTTTTACACAAGCTAGATAAGGAAATTCCCTACAACTTTGTTATTAACCATTTTTACAACAAACTCCATTTTACCTATGAAAAACACCTAGCAACAAAATCTGTCCAAACAACTTCTATAATTGAATTTTAGAGCCATAATATTTTACTGCATACTAGAAATCAAAATTGGGCACAACCAAAGATACCAACAGTTCATAGGCAGCATACACACTCTAGAAATATATAATGGTCAAGCCCAAATAAATTATTTAAATGCCTTTATTGATTTATTTGGACACTAAGGTGAAATAAAGAAAATATATCAAAAGTGCACGATAAATTCTGAGAAAATTATAGATTTCATGCCATTTGGATAAGTATAACCATCTCTACATAAATGACAAGTTATAAGGGTTGATTTTAGCGAAAATAGTTATCCCTATTAAAAAGTGTCAAACAACAGATTTCATATTTTTCTTAGCTTCCCTAAAACCCATTAACACTGTGCAAAATTTTGCATGGCAATATGTTACTTATTTTTATCCTTATGAATTTCCTCAGAAAACACTATTTATTAAAAGATAAATAGCAAGACCCTACTCCAATCAATTTTATTGCAAGTTCAACATTTTTTGTAACTAGAGCAAGTCAACATAAGATCAGCAAAATTGGAATCACAATTTTATCACTTTCCTAGCTCAAGTCATACATTTTACAAGATTGCAAACAATTTAAAAGCACTTATCTTGCTCCATTTAATTCTCCTAGAAAAACATCCCAAACAGTAAGTTTCATATTTTTATCAAATACTACACTTCATGATGAATCCAACAAAATTTGGTTCACTCCATTTGGACACTCCTAGCTCTATATATGAATTTTTGAAGTTGGTATTCAAATCTGTGAAAAACAAGAAAAGTCAAAACAAACATAGTGACTGACAGATGGGGCCCGTTGGTCAGCCAGACCCACACGTCAGTGACACCAGGACAGAGGCGACATTTGACTGGCGATAGTTCATCGACGGCAAGATCTCCGGTGGTAGCGTCACCACGGTTGCACTCCCCACACTCCCCCGCACCTAGTGGTGTCCTTCATTGGACCAGTGGTGCCCTTCGTTGGACCAGCGGTGCACTGGAGCACCCTCGCCGGTGGCAATGATAGATGGCACAGGCGGCATGGCGGTACGCCAGCGTTCTCTGGCCATAGTGTGCTCAGACGAGGTGCATCATGGCTTCACGGTAACCTAACGAAGCTATCTAGGGTGGTAGGGATTCCAGTGAGGCGGCGGTGAGCTCCGACCGTGTGCATGCCGCTGCGGCGGGGCACAGAGCATGGTGGTGCTCTCGCCATTCTAGCTAAACGGCGGTGAAAGGTGGGTCTCAATCATGCCAACTACTAGGTCAAGGTTTACTAAACCTAATGCGCACAAAAAAGAAGGGAGGCGATAGACCAGCTCGGCAATGGCGAGGTCGAACGCCTCGGCAGCCATGGCGGCAGCGGCGGCATGTTCCAGCACAACCAAGCAGTAGCATCAAGCCAAGTTCCTACCTAAGTGTAAGGACCACAATGCGAGAGCGAGCGAGGGGGAGGAAGTGAGCGAGAGAGACGCAGACGGGCGCGTTGTGGCGTTAATGAGGCTCTCCCTGGCCAGACTAATGGGGCCCATGCCGGCGTACAGCTGTCAAATGGTGGGTGCAGCCTGATGGCGGTCGGCCACCACTGGCCTACCCAAACATGGAACGAGCCTGTTTTAGATGACTGAAACCGCCCCCTTCCTCACTCTATATCTCTTAAACCAGCGCGATTAAGCAAAAACCGTAAGAATCAAAGTTATAGAGCTACATGAGTACTCCAACTTTGCTTAAATGAGTTTGGTCTAGATCAGCCTAGTTTACGAGCTACAGCATGACACACATCGGTACATTGAAACTGTAAATCAATTCCGGACTTAGAAAAAATTTCAAGTGCTAGAACAGTATTTTGTTGGTTCTTGTGAGCAGTTTTTGAGCATGCTATGCACCGAATTAGGTCTTGACCTAAAAATAAAAGTTGTTACTCTAGTCAAGTACTACAACTTTGGTTAAGGGTGCACTGCCATGCAAATAGTCTATGCTATAGTTCAACTTAGGTCAAACATACAACTTGAAAATAGTAAGTTACACTATAACCATGACATAGAGGCCAAATTGGTCCAAGTCATGAATATCAAAGTTGTTCAATATGACATTCTAAACAAGTTTAGGGTACCCCTAAGGTCCCACAAGCATTTTATACATTGGTCACATGTAAACCCTAGCATATGTAAATCATTTAGTGACAACACATGTAATATAAGCAATCATAGAGATACAATTTGAGATGCTCATGCTTATGAATGATCAGTGATGCTTGTACTCATGTAATGCCAATGCCAAATGCATGCTTAACACCAGGGTGTTACAAAGCTGTCATTCCCCCCCGAAGTCAGACTAAACTCACCCTGAGTAGCGATGTTTTTCGAAGAAGAGCAAGCTGATCGTCGTTATACTGACCTCAAACTCCTCGAAGAGAAGCGTGATATAGCCACATTTCGAGTAGAGAAATATTAGCAAGCCCTTTGGAAATATCATAGCTAGTGTGTACGCGGCCGGGTGCTTACTAAGGATGAAAACGGTCGGAAATGGTCGAAAAACTCCTAAATTGTTTTCTACTTTTACATTTGAAATACAAAAACGAAAGCGAAAACGGTAAAACCGGACACAAAAATGAACGCGAACTTACGAATTATCGAGAATTTCGAAAACGAACCAATTCGAGCGGATTTATGTCGAACACGGTCGATATACGAAAACTCAATACGAAATACCGACCCGTAGACCAAGTGCATGACTAAGTGCATACATGATGAAGTTCAAGTGCATATAATAATTAACAAGTGCATATTATAGAAACATGAACTCGAACTGAGTCAGAATAATTTTATTAATCTTTTTAGAATAGATGTAGTATTTTATTTTAAAGATTTATTCAGATTTTTCTTTTGAGTAACAAAGATTTATTCGACTGATGCAAAAACTATCAAATGATTGACTTTGCAGGTGGGGGTTAAACCGATGAGCTTGATGGGCTATGGCTCAGGTGGGCTTTCGTGTAGATGCTGCTGGTTTCCTAACATTTAGCACCATCTCGTGAGGTAAAGAGAGATGAGGCTGGGCGCTGTCTATAAGAGAGGGCAGCTGGCGACCAGTAGAAAGAACGTAGTTGCGTGGTGAACAACCTGTAATTGGGCTGTATGACCTGTGTAGTTGGCCAAATTCGGTTTAAACTAAATTTTCAATTCGGAATATTTCAAATTAAAAGTAGAAAAGTAGAAAACGGTCGAAAAATGTCTAAACTGTTTTCTACTTTTACATTTGAAATATGAAACATCTGAAATGCGAAAGCGAAAACAGTAAAGTCGGACAAGAAAATGCGGATTCGATCGGATTAAATATAGAAAACGATGCGGTTCGGTTCGGGATATTTCCGTTCCGTTTTCATCCTTAGTGCTTACCATCAGAGATCCGGTCCTCCAACGAGACCAACGCACAAAGGATAAAACTAAGTTGACACCGCCTTGGCAGGGTCCATACATTGCAGTTGATATAGCTCGACTAGGCGCATACTGACTAGCAAAGACAGATGGGGATATGCTCCTGAATACGTGGAACAAGGACCAGCTACAACGCTTTTATGCATAATAAACTGTGTTCCTAGTGCTTTGTTCCTCAGCATACTACCCAGATAAGTATATCATTTCTTGTTTAATTTTATTTCTCTGTTAGTAGTAATTTTCCTGAGCATATACGTTTGGGGGCTGGGGCTGTTCAATTCCAATTAATTTTTCTCGCCCAGTCTTCTACTCTTTATTTAGGTAAGCTACTCATACCCAAATAAAGAGTTAGGGGCAATCATACTACTGTTCACTAGTCTGCGAAAAATTCTTGCTCAAGCTAAACCTAATTCAGCAAGCAGCATCGACATATAGCACGCAAACCGTTCGACTTTATTTACTATAAGTCTAACTGTTTGCATGATGACAGGTCCAAATAGCAAAGATTCAGCTTCACCAGCCCGCTCAAGTGTTAAATATTGCTTGATAGTCGCAGTGTAAGCTATTCACAAGGCAAACTATCACTTTTTATTCCTAGAATAACACAGGAATTCAGTGCCCTATGAATAATTTACAAGCACTTTATGCCCGAGTTATGAGTAAAGCTCCAACCCGACTAGGGCATGCCGATTAGCCTTTAGCCCGGGGCTGTGAGTAAACTCAATAACCGGGATGATATTGCTAAAGTTATCTTGACTTTTCAATTGTACCCACATGCAAAATACGATTGCGACTCTGCTCGCAATGACTCAAACACGGGGCGGTTTGAAAATGCAGATAAAAACATAATAAAATATACACATCAGGAACTAGTCATCCATTGATAATTCATTGTTATGGATTTACAGATGGATAAGCTAGAACCCTAATCTAAGATAGCAGGAGCAAGCACTTCCTTCGATTGTCAACAAGCTCCTTAGGGAACTCGATGACGAGATGAGAGCAGCCTAGCTCCTCGATGGCAACCTGCTTCCCGCGGGCTCGTCCTTCACCTCCTCCTCCTCCTCCTCATCGACCTCCTCCTCCTCGGCGGACTCGTCCTCATCATCGCTGCTTTGGATCACCAGGCCACCGTCACCATCGTCATCGTGATTCAGCTCGACAAAGAGCCTCCGCGCAATCTCCTTGTCGCAGCTTGTGTCCAACCAGCCGACGGTGCCAAGACTGGAGGGCCCAGGAATGTCATAGATGGTGGAGGCGATGGAGGTAGGAGCGGCGGTGGAGACTGGGGCGGTGGGAACAAAAGCCGTTGGTAGGGCTGAGTCTTCTGGCTTGTCCTTGTTGGAGAGCTCAATCACCACTTCTGGTGCTGATGGCACCGGCTGGGTCAAGGGCCCGGCCAGAGATCCCGTCGGACTGACTTCATCAACCCTAGCTTCCCCTCCTGGGACCGCTGCGGCTAGAGGCGTGGGACGCATGGCCAGCGGTAATGCCACCACCGGTGCTGAGGCTCCAGAGGACGTTGGAGATGCAGGTGCGGATGACAGGGGCGATGGCGTACTTCCCGACGACACCGCCTCGGCCGATTGGCCGGGCGAGTTGGCGAGCAGTGAAATGGCACCTTGCTGGGACGCTTGCGGCCGGTGGCCTTCTTCCTCATTTTTCGTAACAAGATTGGAGAATGGAGGTTGCAAATTCATCACAAGCAGACCTGATTAAATAGGACCAAGCTGCCTTTCTTGGAATCTCAACCGCCATCCCAATTAAAAAGGAATTAAATCTCCACCACGCACTCTCATGGGGAGCTGAGCCGATGCAGCTCTTCGACTAACAGACGACTACGCACCACCTAGCTTGCATGTGAAATAGGATTGACAAGACAGGGTGACCCGGGGATGGCACTAGAACAAGCTCATCTCCCAACAACGCACTTCTATTGGTTTGCATGTAATCGGGATTCAAGCCGCTATTGGAAACCCGAGCTACCTCTTGGTACCCAAACAACAAACCATCCGACTAGGACAATCCCAACTACTCGAAGACGACCAAGCTGCATTTGATAGACAAACTTGGGGGCTTATGTCGATGCCATACCCCCGGGTACCCTGACTACCGACTTCGGATCAAAGATGACCCGAAGGCTCACGATGACCCTATTCAAGGAAGGATATCTCCAGATTGTGCCAAGGCTCTGACTAGGGCATGACTCCTTAGCTTGTAGGGCAAGTTGATCTCAGATATAAATAGCTAGCAATATGCCCTGTTGTAATCATCAACTCTTTCATAGGCATAGCTACATTGTAATAGCAATCTCGCTGAATACAAGCAATACAAGAATAGCAACTGGATGTAAGGCTTTTACTTGCTTCCTAGGGGCCCCAACCAGTATAAACCTTGTCCCCATCTGTGATTGTTCTTCGCACCAAGTGGGGTTCCCCAAAAACCAAATATCTGCCGATAAAAAACACCGATGGATACCAACAACCAAATTTGATGTTTACCGGACCTATGTGGATGGTAGGAGTCTTGTCAACCCTAAGTCTTGGTCATCACTGGGTACACAAATGTTCTTGCTAAACAAGTGGTACTTAAATGCGTAAGTGAAGGAAGAGGCATGGCTTCTTGCCAGAGTAAGACCATAGTATTACTTCAATGGCTATGACATTGTACATATTGAGTTCAATGAATTACACCAACTATTAAACCAAGACTCTCTTGACAAATCTCTCCTCAGCTGCTGGTGTCTGTAAGTGATTCTTTCTACAATTGAAGTAACTTGCATGTTAGTTCATTATCTATATTTAGTTATCCTCACACTATATATATTCTTTTGTACTATATAAATGTAGATATGAGATGCTAAAACTAAATAAAAAAGGTTAAGTGTTGTTGGTTTCATGGATCCGAATCGCACATTCAGAGACAGGGTTACTCCATATGATAGATGGCGACCTCAAGTGGAGAATAATCTGTTTAGGTTCTTAGATAAGCAACATGACAAGACACTGAGACCCTTCCCTTACAACTTCAAGTGAGTGTTAATGTCTTTTGCCAATTTTATTTTGCTTACTCCATGTTAACTTTAGTTAATGAGTTATGCCTGCGTATAAACATGTAGCTTCCACTGGACACTACTGGTCATCGATATGCCTAGGAGTCTTGCAAAGATCTTTGACTTAGCAACAAAACCCTAAGAAGATTATGAAGAAATGATAGATATTCTTCAGTGGTAATTTCGGTCTCGCACACTGTATACTCTCTTATGCCATTTTATTGATATAACTCCATTTATTTATTTTGTTGGGTAGTGCTTGGAAAACATTCGCCCAGAAACACCATTATAGTCATTGGAAAGTGCCTCTGGATATAGTCCAATACCTAGTAAGTACTAGCTAGGTCACCGCATCTTTATTTAGTTCAATTCATTATTACCATGCTTCATTGGTTGATGATGAATCTTTTTCTCATAAAGTGGTGTCTACAACAGGGATCGGGGAACAACTTATGTGGATACTATGTCAGTGAGTTCCTCATGGAGTACTCAAGGAGAACAAGTGAAGAGATCCTCAAAGTATGTACAAAATATACACAATTTATTTAATACCATTGTGTTGATATATATATATAATCATATATATATATATATATCATACTTATCCTTTCATTCGAATTGAAGGTTCAATGGAGGAAGCAAAGAGTTCTGCGATGTGACCAGATCAAAGCAATTCAAGAGGCATTGTTAGGATTTCTTATGGATGAGGTCATAGATCCCAAAGGCGCGTACTACTATGACCCTAAAGAATTATTACCAAGTAGCCATATGACTGATGAAGATTAGGGTTCAATAAAATCCCAAGGACATGAGGACAAGGTTTTTGTCACTTTATAATTATGTACATATTCCATGCATGTACAACCTCTTGAAATATTTGTATATATATAGTTTCATACATTTAAGTGTGATATTTATGTACAATGCTCGAACGAAACCTTATACGTACGTATATATGGACGTATATTAGCAATGTAGAATTCATATATGAAAATCTAATCGAAACCAAAAAGAATTGAATTGAAAGAAACCATAAAATGAAAATGAAATATATGGAAAAAAGGAACCTCTAGTACTAGTTGGAAACACCAACCAGGACTAAACGTTCCTGCGCCGGTGCAATGTCTGGGGCCTATCGTGGGGTCGGAACCACGACAAGCATAGTTGTTCAAGTCGATGTCAGAGTATGGGTCTTCGGTGGCTCGGGTGGACTCAAGAACACAAGAATCACAGAGAGGACACAACAGTTTATCCTAGTTCGGCCCCATCAATGCCCTACGTCCAGCAGCTGATGATCCTTATACTCAAAAGCACCCAATATCGGGGGGTTACAACAGAGTGTAGAGAGATATTTGGTAGGAGGTTAGCTCGGTGCTAATCTTAAGGTTGCCTCGCTACCGGTGGAGTCTTCCCCTCATCAGAGAGGAGGAAGATGATGGGATGTGGTAGAGGAGCTCTTAGTGCCCCTCCTCTGGGTTGCTCTGCTCTCGGTGCTGAGTAGGAGCAGATCGAATGTAATGGAATGTCTTGGGTTCCTCTTCCCCTCCTTGTTGACGGTCACTAACACCTGTTTTGACCACCAACATTCCACCCAAAAGCATGGTAAAGTGATTTGAATCATCATCACATGTGAAGAATTATGTTTAAATTTCACCTAGTTCCACTTGTGCTTGTAGAATTATTTGTATGTAGGAAATATGGCAAATTTGGGCCAAAATTGTGAAAAACATGGACAAAGGAAGCAAGTGGATGTGGCAGGGCCACCTAGGTCCACTAGGCAGCGCCACCTAGGCACCGCCTGGCCCCACCTAGTGCCAACTTGGCACTTTGCCACATCACTGATCCATGGGAGCCCCTCCAGAACCAATGGGATGTGTTGATCTAAGTCAGTTAAATAAATGGTCTTGATGAAGAGGCCATGGATCCATGGGCCCATTGTCATACACTTGGAGCTTCACCAACTAACTTACATGCCAAGTTTCACCATGTGTCGCCTCTACAACCGACATTAGGAGCCAACCATCACCGTTGGATGCTAAGGCGGTGGAATGGAGGGCCCAGCGGTGCCCTCCCTTGGTTGCCCGGCCCCCCTACCTCCACTGACTTGGCCACTACCTAGATGTACCCCCCATGCCTCTCTACACTATAAATAGAGGGTGTGGAGCTCGGTGAAAAGGTGCCCCATTCATTTCCAAGCTTCCCTTAGCTTTCTAGCTTAGCATTAGCTATAGAGTAGTAGTCTAGTAGCGGAGTAGAGCAAGAGGAGAGCTTCTCGAAGTCCAGAAGAGTCTTCTAGTTCTGGTAAAGCTCCTTTGTAATTATTTCATTTCTGCATTACTTTATTTAGTATTTATTTTAGTACTTTATTCTAGTATTACTTGCTTTACTTTAAGTACTTAGCCATTAGTGTTCGTCATTAGTGAGCTTAGGTGCTTATTGTTTGGCATTAGTAGCATAGGTTATCTTATCATTAGTAGTCTTTTGTTAGTACCGGTTCCACCGTCTGGTTAGGGTGCTTTGATCTCATTTCATTGGAGCTCGGATCGAAGTAGTAAGCATGTAGATTAAGTGTGGAGCTTAGGCTATATATTACCTGTGGATACGGCTAGGCCTCCAGATAGATTGTGGTAGGTGGTAAGTGGTGATAGCATTGTCCATCCTCTATATTCTATCACGATAGGTCTAGATATTAAATCATATGGCTAGTGGCAGACCTTGTCTATCTAACTCTCCTAGTTGGTGGGTAGACTGTGTCCCAAAGTACTATCATATTTCTCCTAGTTATTTGTTTACCCTTAGTTACTAGAAAGATATATCACTCACGCTCCCACCTAGCTATCTCTGGTTTGCTTGTATTTAGTAGTTAGTTTAGGTAGTTCACACGCATCCTTCACTATCGTTCACCTACCTAGGATCAACTTAAGACCTACCTTTAACAAATCCTAGTCCTATATAAATTCTAGCCTTCCGCCTTCCTATGGAAAAAAAATAAATTTGACACTTGGTACTCACTAAGTGAAGTGCTACGCGATAGTTCTATGCACTTGTGGAATCCTCCAATAGTCGTTAAGAAGTAACAATAAGCATTTCTAGCGCCGTTGCCGAGGAAGGCAACTGGCATTGAATTTATAAGGTTGAATTTGTTAGCTAGGTTGTTTTTAGTTATCCTAAGTAGTTTATCCTTTTTCCTCATATCCTATCACTACCCTACATGACCATGGGCGATAAGATCATTTGTGATTTTTCTGTACCCTCGGCTGCTAATGTAGCCACCGGACCCAATGTTAGCAATGGAGATGCTAACTTTGAGCTTAAGCCAGTGTTAATTATGATGGTTCAAGCTAGTTCGTTCTATGGTAAAGCCCACGAGGATGCCAATGCTCACCTCCAATATTTCTTAGAGATTTGTAGCACATTCACCATTAA